CCCCAGCCCCCGCGGCCTCCCGGGGTGGGGCCTGCGGGACCCCCAGGGCCTGCTTGCCGGGAGCGGGAGCCCGCCCGGCGCCTCAGCCGCCTTTCCTCGGCCTGAGGCGTTTGAGCCGAGGGGTGGGAGCGGCGTTAGTCGCTCTGTTGTATCGTGAGCTCGGGTGCAGTGTGGTGTCTCGCTCTGGGGTCCTCTCGCTCCGGCTGCCCGCCCCTGGGCTGGGCTCGGCCCCTCTGCCCGCCCAGAAACCCCCAGTCCAGGGCGGCAGGGCTTCGTGATGGGCTCCCAGCAGATCCGTGCCTTCACCGCCCTTTCCCGCTTTGGCACGGGAGTGGGTGAAGCAGAGCAGGCTGCGCCCCTCTTTCTGGCCCGGCTGTTGGTGTCTGTGGCTGTCGGTGGCCCACGCCGCTCTCGGGTCACCCTGTGCCCACGGTCACGGTTGTTCACGTGTGATGCTGAGATGATTGTGGGTTCCAGATGTTCCCGATGTTGGCAACCCCACCCCCTCGTTCGCTTTCCATCTGCACAGTGGGGGTTTGACAAGAAGAAAAGGGGTGGAGACTTGGAGTAGTACATATGTTGAAGGAGCAGAGAACAGTATATATACATAGGGATATAATGGATGGAGGAAAATCATGGCACGGGGATATGGTACGTATGTGGAGTGGAAGAAAGGGAGATGCCTTTCCAGGTGTTAACCATTGCTGGTGCCCCAGACCTCCCAGTAACAGATGGCTAAGCCATCTCCATGCCTGTCGCTTCTGTCTCTGAACAGAGGGAACGTATGGATTACATGCCATGTTTTGGGGAGTATGGTTGCTCCCTCTGGGAGAAACCGTTGCTCCAGGAGCCTCTGTTTAGTGTCTCATGTTGCAGAGTGAATGGGAAAAGCGAACATCTTCTGGAAAGAGACAGTTGTTGCACAAGTAGTTGTTCACAGCTGCTGTGCAGAGCACAATCCCAAACTGAAGAATGTGCCTTTGTAGATGCTGCAGGCTGGTGTGTCATGGTCTGACCAGGAGACCCAGTTTTGCGAAGAGATCACTGGGAGTGACAGGCGAAGCAATTGGGATGAAATTCAAGTGAAACTGTGTTAGGTGGCTTCAGAAGCTGTCCTGC